TGCCACAAACGCGATAAAGTTAACGAAGATAACCAAAATAAGCATAGGCAAGGCGGGTAGTTTGATGGGAGATATTTCAGGTAGGCAGAACAAACCAAACAATGTATAATGAACTTTATCCAGCTTAGAAAGACCAACTTTATGTGTAACTTGGTTTAGCCCAACTACGGTGTACGAGCATCATGAATGCAACAATTGGTTGGCGGCATCCGGTCTCGGATTTTTCTGTCACTGTGGTCAGCCACAGGACGCCTGCGCCTACAGAGGGACCATGGATGGCTTGCGCTGCACCATCCACAGCTCCAACCACACACTCCATATCCAATGTAAACCCGAAGGTATAAGACTGGGAGGCATGTGGATGGAAAGCACGCTTCATCAACGGAGCCGGCCCACACTCCTTCGCAGGCAAACACAAGCACGCGGTAGTTGGGAATCAAGCGCACACAAGGCGGTGGATGGACCCTGGTCCGCTCCACACTAAGTGAATGGAACCGCTCTTTGAGCTTAGCACGGCCACAAGGACCGTGCATCCCGTCCCCTCCAGTAACGACCAACTGTCTCCTGGAGCCTGTATGGACGAGATAGTGGGTACTAGACAGAGAGGCCCCTTGTCAGCATGCACATCAAGCGCAGCCACACCTGGGATGTCAAACAATAGCCCGTTACTTGAAATGACCTTATCAAATAAAATAAATCTGTTGAAGAATATGCCTATGCAGACATGACTCTACCCTAAATTAGCATATGAACTAAGCTGATTAGCGAAGAATCCGCGATAAGTACAATATGTCCAGATGTTACTCAAAAGATAGTACAAACGCAATAAAGTTAACGAAGATAACCACAATTAGCGTAAGCAACGTGGCCAGTTAATAGAAGATTAGTCAGGTAAGCAGAACCAAACAAATGAATTGGAATGAAATTTATCCAGCTCAAAGAAACCTAGTTTAAATTTAAGTTAGTTTAGCGCAACTGCGGTGCAGAAGAATCATGAATGCAAGTTCAGCCTCAGCAACAATTACATGCGGATAAGCACCCATACGCTACATTCCCTTTTGAACAGACGTGTATTTTTTGCACGATTGACGGCACTCTTATGTTAACCAGGTTGCCTCGCGTAGTCTTGAATAAAAAAAGCTTCTTTGCTTATTTACTCGCCCGCTTAAATTGCTCTCCACTGACCACAGGCAAAAGCTGGTTTCACATCTTCAAACCTAGGAAGCAAACACTGCGTCTTCACGGATATAGGGGAATCATTAGCTCATCGAAGTTCCATTTGTCGCCGAGACCATTGATACAGCTCAAGGATTATCACACCTTCGTACACAGTGAGTGAGTACAATGGAACAAGGGAACAAAAGTTTATTACGGGTGTTGCGGGCACGTCAAATATTCCCGCAAAGACGCGCAAAAAACCCCGGCAGAATGGCTGTGAAAAAAGAGGTTCAATTCCTCCCCACAACGCAGCAGCGCTCAGCCACTCCGAGGCGCGTCCCAACTGCGAACCTTTTGACAATGGTCATTTGCAAACTACCACCACTTCGTGGTGAATGTTTTCCTAACTTAATAACCTAGTGCATTGGCTGTGTTCGCCCTTTGTTGGTCGTAAAAGCGCCTACAGAGGACCACTTGCCTTTTCTTTCTCTTCGCCTCAGTTGGGAGTCGGTCGGGTCACGTGATTGCGTGTGAGTCGTTAGCTGACCAGCCTTCGCGTCTAAGTCATTAGCGCGTGTCTATCGTAACCCCCTCTCGTGTGCGTCCGTTCCGAGGGCTCAGCGTCTATCCGAACACGTGCGGCTAGGACCGTTCACACGTTCGCTCAAATTTCCGTCTCACCGGCTAAGCGTCATCAGGTCAGCGCAACGCCGTTCCAGTGGCCAGCGTTACAAGTCGTCATCGTAGGCGTGCTCCAACCGTGCCGGCGACAATCCTATCAGGCAATTGCGCAATCAGAACAGAGGCGGCGTTCCCACAATTATAAAAACGAGTAAAAAAGCATTGCTTAACAAGTCCCGTGGGATGGAAATTATTGCGAAAATCAATTGCGTGATAAAGTGAAAAGCGTTTCGGTGGACTCACCATAGACTTATGGGGAATAGCAGAGATGTTCGCGCATTAATAGTGTAAATCTATAAACCCATTGGTTAGGCGTTTGGCAAGACACCGTTTGATGGCGTTTTGTAGCCCCTGGCTAACAAGTCATAAAATGAAATGCAAGCGAGATAATGCATCGTCAACACCTTTTTAAATATCGCCAGATTTGGAGCAGAGACGACATAATTAGGGAGGGCGTTGCAAGACTGACGCACGCGGAAGGAAAAGAAATTTCTACGGCATTCAAGCCGGCTATACTGAATTGTCAGTTACAGAGGGTGACCTCTTAGTTTAGTGTTGTGGTTCAATTCCAGCAGAGGAAGGCAAATGTGGTTTGAGTTCTTCAGAACCTGGTAAAACATTGTGAGCTGCCCCCGCAGAAGATGATGTCGACTGCTGTATATTTTTAGAGATTTCAGTCTAAGCTGATAAGGAGATGAAAACGTCCCTAACGTTCTTGGTTGCCCTTCGTTGAGGAGTCTCAAGAGCAACAAGATCCTGTTTCTGCCATGGCTGCCACGCCTGAATAGCATATTCCACGTGAGATCGCACCTAGCGGTAAGCATTTGGGGAAAGATTGAGGGTCCAAACGGACCGAAGGCTCTGCGAAGAAGGCCGAAGCGTTGATTTCCGGTTCTCGTCTCCTTCTCTGCTTGTTTTGAACACCCAAGATCTTCCTGGACCTATACACCCAGGTCACGCTCCTAAGAGACCTTCGCCAAGGTGCGGTCTCCAATCTTGTATGTGCTCACTAGCTGGTGACACAGATGTATTACTTTGCACTTAGCTATGTTCAATTAAAGCTTGTTCCTCTTCGACCATTCGTAAATGCAATCGAGGTTATGTTGTAGCAGATCCTGATCTGGCTTGTTACTAATTGCCCGCCATATCTTGACGTCATCGGCGAAAAGCAGGAAATTTGAGGAGATAACTGATGCCAGGTGGTTGATAAACACCATGAATAAACGCGGTCCCAGCACTGAGCCTTGTGGGACACCACATTCCACCTCAATTTGGTTAGAGAGTGATTCCCTAACACGTACTTGAAACGCACGTGTGGCAACTTGTTGCGATTATAAATATGTATCAGAAAAAGTTTATTTACATGTGCAAACAGGTCTATTTTAAATTTTTTTATATCGGTTCAGCAAATAATGGTGTTTTGTTTTAAAAATGTCGTCTCATGGGAAGAAGTCACCAGTTAGTGTGTATCATTTTTGCCAACTCTGCTTATCTCGTCTATTTCTAATTAAAAATGTTTGTTACATATAAAAAATAAATTGGCTTCTAATTCTTTATGCACTTTTATAAAATTCGAAGAACTGTATGCTATTTGATGAATACAATTTAAAGTTATACATAAATATTCACACTGTGAACCATTACATTCAACATGTGAATATCATCGCTTGGTGTTAACGTGTATTAGATCAAGGATTTTCATGAGTGAATGAAACTACGTCACTTATTGTCATCTGCATAAGCAACGAAAGATTGCCCAATAAATCAGTGCAACTACATTGCATTTTAACTATGATGAGTAGGCAATGTCAGCCTTTTCTGATGATCAAGCTCATGTGATGTTATTCTGTTATCGCCGCAAACTTTAAACTAGTTTGAGAAGCTATTAACACAATTTTGCACTAGTGAACTGGATAATGAAATAGTTACATCGGAGTAGGTTTAGAATTACTTCTAGATTTTACGCTAAGAATTGTATGAGCTTTAGTTATGTTGGCTGGCAATAAAGGACGAAAACAAATTCTCAAATCTGACTTGCTAAACAGAGTCATGTGTGGTGCCAAATTGACAAAAGTTTTCTGCTGACTACAACACATTCTTGCGGCTACATCTTCCCTTTTGAGAACTTTAAAGCGGCTGACCTCATATTCTGTAGCTAGGAATGCTGAAATTGTTAAAAGCACCGTTAGTTATTGAGTATTGTCGTCAAACATCCGACGGTAATCTTAATATTAATGTATATTACGGGTTCACGAGACATGCACTTTTCGGTGTAGCAGCCAAGCCGCTTGCAGCGTTTCAGCAGTACTGTTGTTGAACTTGAAGTCAGTCGGATGGGACGGTATGATAAAGATGATTAGACGGTTTACTAAAATGACATGCTTTCATGGTTACTTTAGCAAACCTGGTTCGCCTCTCGGAAGCATTGGGTGTGTGTTCCCAAAAACTTACTAACACTATAAAAGCCGTCCACCCGAGTAGCGCACAGCTTTTGAACACATTCACTGGTTCTCGTGGCCAGAATTAGCTTTCTATCCACTAATACATCGAAAAGTGAATGACGCAGTCGATATATAAATAAATAATCAATTAACTTGTATATTCTCGACAACGCGATGCACATCTGAATAAGCATGATCATAGTATATCAACACGAAAGATCAGAAATTGTACAATACTGTTACAGGGTTATCAGGTGATGGCTCACATGATACTTTGCCACACTGGCACACAGCCAGTTAGAGCATGTGTGTGCGGGAGAAACTTATCGATGAAATACCCCGCATGGAAGCAAGTCCACTGGGGACGGTTCCATGGATGCTAGTATTACGTCTCCTGAAGTTTTAGTTAACTCTGAATATGTTATTGTTCAAAGTTTCTTAATCACTCTGATACCTTCAAACTGCCAATCACTTACAAAACCTGTTTGGAATCCGTTATACAAAACATGGACAATTAAAATTTTATGCGGTTTCATTATACGGCTTGAGCAGGCCGCACAAGTGGACTCTGCCTCGCACCGTAGAGAAATAAACCGCGTTTTATTTATTTATTTATTTATCATACTGGATTTTTTGATATATATATGTATATATATATACATTTTTGCTATCTTTATAACGTTAGCAAGTTGTCATGTGCCGTGTTTCCCTGCTTCCCAGTTTGCTCCCAGTTCACTGTGGCAATATCAACAAGCGGATTGACCCGAGAGCGCTGAATTTTCTGGACTACTTTTAAGACAACATTTTACGACTTTGTGTTAACGGTATGTGCATTTTATACCCAATTTTTGACAAATGTTTAGTTACGATTGCATTAAGCAAAATATTAGCTGTACGTTATATTGAAAGCAAATGGTTTGCGGGAAATCAAAATGTTACAATGTGCGAGTATTTTTACATTTATGTGGTGATGTTGAACGATGCTAGGAAGGAAATATCCATTTTTTCTGCTAAGATGCCTTGTCTAGGAAAAATAACTGATTAACAATAATTAAACTTTGTAATCACAGATGACACTTCCAAAATGTTTCCGTAACATCCTCGTTACTGAGATGTTGCCAACAAAGATTTCAGTGAGATTATTTGCTGAATACTATGAATAAAGTTAATAAAAATGCAGCCTCTCTCACATTGATAGGATATTCTTAAATCTGTGCAAAGAGTCTAACGATGATTCCAATAAGTGAGTCATTTACGCAGAATTCTTGTTATCCAAAAATTGAGGTCCAAAAGAACTCAGCTTTTGTGTCGATGTGATTTACAGCAGAGGATCCAGAACTAAGGATAAACTCGATCATTTGTAAACCCTCTTAGCCAGACTAACATACTTACTAGTGAAAGGGGTTGTAGACGTATGAAACAACCTCTTGGTCAAAACAAAAAATAACATTTTGGGAAACCATCGATAACGAAGGAAGCGTGAACGTGCACAGGGCTGTCAGAGGTTAAGAGTGCCAAACATTCAACACATATCCATTTCAGTTTGCGATTATCCGGCTGTTGTTCTAAGGTGGTAATGTTCATTTTGGCAATAACCTCAACGTAGGAAAACTAAATTTTTATCATGGATCCATCCCCTTTTGCAGCGAAAACTAACATCGGTTTGTGAATTAAATATATTGGACTAATATACAGTAGGGGTTGACATTTGATTTCACAAATGGTTAGTAATTAGTTGTGTTCATAATCAAATGCTTACACATTGCGATCAGCTATTTTATTTCCCACTCACCATCCTATTTGCTTGAGAATTGTTTCAGTGCAGTCACAAGGGAATTTGTCTGAAAAGATAGGATGCAAGTGAACGGTAATACTTGACAATAAAAAAGTTTAAAGCAGTTAGTTCCCTTCAACAATTTGAAAAGCAGGGAAAGAAGACGAAGGCTGGTAGATGCATGCATTTCGTATTGTCTCCTCAGTACCACTAACAATAACCGATAAGCATAGATATAGCTAACAGTGGGTGCAACCAGACAAGCTTAAGGTGCAAAGACACATAAGAGTGAAGTGCCACTCAGACCAATCCTTTCAATGATGAACGCGCTCCAGCACAAACTCGCTCGTTGGTTAGTGAAGTTGCCAGTTCCGCTGAAACAACAGTTCAATCCGTACAGTCTTAAAGACTCGTTTCAACTCATTGATGTTCTGGATGAACTCAACCTGTCAGACAAAGTTATATTTTCCTTGGATGTAGAATCCTTACTTACCAACGTGCCGCTACATCAGACGGTTGCTTACGTATGCGAATTAGCTGAAAACGGTGGCTGTTGGCTACCAATTCCGACTGAATTGCTAAGAGAATCTCTACTATTGTGCACGGAGAATGTGGATTTTCACTTCCGGAATTCGCTATACCGTCAGATTGACGGCCTAGCAATGGGTAGCCTATTAGGTCCTGTGCTCGCTGATTTCTTCATGTTGATGGTAGAAAGAAGCATTTCTACAGAAATAGCCCAGGTGCCATACTACAAAATATATGTCGATGATATCTTGGCTTTCTGTTCGTCGGAGCAGCAGCTCACACATTTGGTAGAACGGCTCAATGGGGCCCATGCTAACTTACGGGTTACATGTGAAATAGAACAAAACAGTTGTCTACCATACCTGGACATACTTATAACTCGCAGGGAGGATGGATTGATTAAGAGGTCAATTTACCGAAAATCGACGTGGTCCGGTCAGTACCTGCACTTCACCAGCTTCACACCAGTGCGGTACAAACGGACACTTGCGAAGAGTCTAGTTAGTCGTGCCAGACGAATTTCTTCGGCCGACTGTCTGGACGATGAGCTAGTGTTAATTACAGCAACACTAATGGCGAATGGCTACCCTGGAAGATTTATCGAGAAACACAGCCAACCGCGAGGACCAAAGGACTTGGTGCACACGGCAGCCGAGAAGAAAGTGTATATCGAATTACCTTTCAAAGGTGACTTAGCCACGCTGCAGACAACTAAGCGCATAATTTCGGCTACACAAGGAAGTTACTATGCTGCACAAGTTGTCGTTATTAACCGAACCCGAAATTTGCCCATACCTCCAACGAAGGAAGCTCAGCCTATTGGGGCCAAAGCACACTGTGTATACCAATTTGTATGTGACTGCGGTAAAAGTTACATAGGCAGAACCAATAGATCGCTGACTTCCCGAATAAAGGAACATGTGCCAAGATGGGTTCAACATGAAGTTGCTCAGATTGCCTACCCTCGTCAGATTCCATGTTCGCGCAGACCGCCGGCTTCCTCGATAGGCAAACACCTATTAGACTCGGGTCACCAATTAGAGCTGGGCTTAGCGTTTAAAGTCGTGTTACGTCACACTAATCCCCGCTACCTTCGGTTTGCTGAGGCTGTCGCAATTAGCCGGATCAAGCCAGCCTTGTGTATTCAGAAACAATTAGTTGTCAGCCTAAAGCTGCCTTGGACGTAGGTGTGAACTTCCGTCATTCGTTTTGCACCTTAAGCTTGTCTGGTTGCATCAACTGTTAGCTATATCTATGCTTATCGGTTATTGTTATTGGTACTGAGGAGACAATACGAAATGCATGCATCTACCAGCCTTCGTCTTCTTTCCGTGCTTTTCAAATAAAGAAGTTAACAAGTCAAAACCAGTAATGCGTACCGGGTTAATTGTATTTTCGGCAGAATGTTTCACCTGAACTAAACGTTTACATAGCGCAGCTTATGTGTTGTAGGTGTCAATTCATAAACGGTAGGATCTGGTGAGATTTTGTCTGAAAAATTCCTAAACTAGTACGCATTTTTGATTTTCATTTTTCTCATTTAAATGCGAATGCTTTCTTCGCTGAAGATCAGCGCCGGCTGTGATTTACTTGAACCGAAAAAGCTGTTGATGAACATAGGACTTAATCATCAAATGGATTTTTAATTTTGTGAGAATTCCTCCAAATATTTGAGAATGTATGTATGTTATTCTTATTATTTTTATTACTTTTTTCATAGTGAGTGAGTGCGAATTGCGAACTCCGCGTAAATACGATTGATAACCTATAAGTGAGCTGATGTCAAGATAACCCATTACCTAGTTAACACATTGGGACACTATCGCCTGGCTCTATGCGCTGAGTTGGCGTTGCGGTTGCCGCTGTAACTAAAATCCCCTGAACATGTTACACATCCACTGAATTTCTTTTATTAACCCTCTATTATGGTGGTCGCCTCAAAATCCTTTGTATTCCAATAACAGATATTTCGACCATTTTTGAGATAAATCTCAATGATTTTGCCTCCTTTTATTTCACAACAATGACTTGGTTTAGCATTGTGTCTCTAGCTTAAATGGGTTGTGAAGAGGATCTCCAGGCTTTCCGAATTGGCTCTCAGCCATAAAAGTGCTCAAAAGGGTACACTGCGAAACCGAAGCGTATAGTTGAATAAAGTCCCGTGGTATGTACGTAGGCTGAGCCATCAGTGCCGCTTCAAAGTTGGCAAGCTAATTCGGCTCTGCACGTGACTGATTGCTGTCTGTCAAGTCTTATCGATTGACCTGAATTTAAATTCAGCTATGGCCTCAGGTTAGGCCTCAGGGGCAGTCATCGATACTGGATGAGTCATGCTATCATGTGCGGCCGTCTCCGTTACTGTGTTAGATTAATTGATGTGTGCGGTTAACAGAGCGTGAATTTTGCTACGCAGTGAGGCTTGACAGTAAGAGCAACCACTGGATAGAGATAAGCGCAGTTAGTGTTCAGCTGCATTGCCAAATTGGCACAACTTAAGTAAATGATAATAACTTCCTGCCTCTCCGCTTATACGCTTCGAATGTTTCCGCTTTGTGTCAGCCATGGAGAAAAAAGTTTAAACCGGTTACACTCAACAGAAGCGAAGTTGTACGCGCATTGTGCACAAGTAGCTCACTTAGCACGGCCATCTGTACTAAGCGCCTCATGTTTAGCTCGTACACCAATTCTGCTATGAGCAATCCACTAATTGAAGGTCCTACAATGCTTGCAATTTCACGATAGTCACCTAAATGGATTCTTAAGCCAAATGGTCTGGTGCCTCCTCACTTATACTTTGTATACCAACCTGCCTGCACTCTGCAGCTTAAGGGATTAACACAAATTTCTTCGGTAACCAACTCCGCTCGGAATGTGTACCTCAGTTGCTTTCCCACTGTCTAAACATTTTGCTTAGTATGCACTGTCCATCGGAGACAATTTGACATAGAATCAATGGCTAATGTCCAATGATATATTGCGTTAAAAATATATGAGACTGACCATTCCTCTCCGGTTGGCCGGTTCGCGCTGTAAAAGAAATACTAAAGACAGCTGTTAATAATACAGTGAAACGCGATGGAAGATAAACATGCCGAGATAATTTTGTACGGATGACTTGTCCATTCAATGTTTGATGCAACCAACTTGGCAGTCACCCTTCGCTTTCCCAGAAAAACTACGGGGAAGGATTTACGAGAATTTTGTTTATATACATGATACGACTTAATAGGGCGAGTTGACTGTCTAAACGGTATTCGAACACTGATAATGTTGGGGATTAAATAACAAAATCTTTGAGGACACTTCAGGCGTGGCAAGCAGGTCAAGATAAATAATTGTGACGAACTTCCAAGCGAGCGCATTGTTTTCTCAGTTTGAGATGACGGCCTCTCAGGCTGATGTTACTACTGGGCTGCTACAGATCGTAGCGCGTGTGAACTAAGATGCTTCGAATGTGATGTGCCACGATAAATTTGAGAAGAAAAAGCCCATGTCATCTACTGAAAACTCCTGACACTCTCAGTTGCCATTCGTAAGGCAAATGAGACAACGTTTTTACGTTTCTGGCAGCCCGAAGTTGTGGAACCTCTAAAATAATAAAATCCCTCTTTTACCACGTTTGTTAGGCATAAATAGCATATTCCGCCACAGGAGGTACGTATATAGAAACATTTGGCAAAAAACATATGGACCGAAGAGACCCATAAATTTGGATGTCCTTAACTAATGTTATTTTGCATCGTTCTGCACTAAGAAGCCATGGAACAGTAGTTTATGACGATTAACTGACGTAAGCCTAACAGACCCCTTAACTTGGTTGGGAAAGAAACTGTAAACAAAGATTACACAAGTTGACAAATGCAAATACACATCGGTGAAGCAGCAGGGCAACGGCATATCCGAAGCAGAGTTGTGGGAAGATGGTACTATGCAAAACAGAACACCAAGTTATTATGGTTATTGCTTTTGTAAGCAACAATAGGATTACTCAACCGCCTGCACTGCCTTACGTGTGTCGGTGTGGAATATACTTCCAAAAAGCTAGTGAGACGGAACACATTCCAGAACAGCTGTTCATATACAAACTGTGGGATGTACGCTATATCCAAGGGTTTATTGAAACTGACTAATGTGGAGTATAGACAACTGAGTTTGGAAGAGCATTCCAAGGCTGGCAAACTCGGAAGAGTAATACATTCGTTGACAATCTGGACAGCTTTATTGTCGATTTAATATCAAGCTATAACTGTTCAGGTTGGTGTTCAGCTGATTTCATTAGGTGACGGCATGTCGGACTGGGATCTTTCAGCATTTGGTATACGAGTCCGAGCGTTTCACATATGCGCCGTAAACGTTCACCGAACAATTCGAGTTTCGTCATCCGTTCATGGCATAGAACGTGGTCCAAACCCTTGATATGTTTCGTTGTCCTGATTTGTGGGGTCTAGAGTGCTGCGTGGTCAAGCTTTAATAAAGTTTGCCAAGTCTGGGTAACGTATTCAAAGTGGGAAACCACATGGGCATTACGCATCAGAGAAAAGGTGGGTGAATCCGAAATCCCGAGTACACTACGCACTGGACCAACGTGCTGGTTACCGCTTTGTGAAACGGACTCGGACCGTCTGGAACAACCGAGTTCGTCCTGCACCAACGCACCGAGGTCACGCTTCTGATTGGTGTCTTCAAATCGTACGCCCCAAGCCTGGGATGTGGATAGCGCGGCACGTGCTCATATTGGATGAGAGTGCGTCCCTCACAGACCAGTTTCAAGCTACATCCAGGTCGCGCTGGAGGATATCTTGATCGTCCAATCTCTTGATCTTCGTCCTAGAACCATAAAACAGGTGATAAGTTGTTGGATATTTTATGAAGACTACGGCCAAGCTATGCTCACGTACCGAACTTTACAGTGGGCCGCAGTCAATTCTACTTGAGTCGGACAAATATGTTCCGACTTTAACCTCCATTTGCCGTTCATAGTGAAAGTTACAGACCCATCCCGTTACTGGATTTCCGATACCATATTTCTGAGGATTGTGAAATAGGATGCGATGATCCAACCGGTCGAGCGCTTTTGGAAAGTCCGCGTGGATGACATCGGCAGTTGACTTCTGATCAGTACAATTGTCACGTGTTATCTGCGTGTTCGTGATACATGACTGATGTTGACGAAACACGTGCTGCTCCGGCAAACGGATATGCTCAGAGCGTAGGGGGGTGGGGTCAACTCCATGACGCTACAATATGCTCCAATATTCCGACGCGCCACAAGCGTGTGTCCCATTCCTGTCCCGTTCCCTCAGAAGCCACGAATTGTATACGTCTTATAATTAAGCGACAGTTTTGAGGAAGCCGCTATCGTTGCGCACCCATAGTCTCCCCGGTTTTCATAACATTTACCAGAGTGCCTTCCAGGTGGCAACCGCTAGAATAACCAAGCTATTAACCCTATTCTTTCAAAGATGCTTTAATGTATAGCAGGTTCTTAAAGTGTGGAAGCAATAGCATTACTATGATGTTAATGAGCGGTAGCTGTTCGGAACCCGCTAACCATCGTCAACACGATTCAACTTCTCGTGATCTCATAGTTGATGGAATCTACAATTGCTGAGATAATCATAAGCTATTCAAAAATATCAGATATCATAGCGCTGGATCAACACGACTTATATCAACCTCAGACAAGTGCTACCAACCTAATGATTGCGAATAACAGTTGGACAACGGATAATGGGACCGGAACGGGTGTCGTCTACCTGCACTTTTCTAAGGCCTTCGACCTATATGATCACCGGATCCTCCTCCAAATGCTGTAAAGAAACGGAATCGGGAACCTAGTCCTTGGCTGAATCAGAAATTTTCTCCCTCAGCGGCAGATTCAGGTTCGGGTTCGGGGCCCATTGTCCCATCATATTGAAGTGGATTGCGGTGTTCCACATGATCCGTGTTGAGTAGACACTCATTCTTGGTCTTCATCAACGACTTCGCGCAAGTTATCAAATCAGATTTGTCACTTTGTGTAAGTGACATTATGATATAGCAGTCGATCTGGCATCTCTTGATCTGCTGCAACTAGACTTGTATTGTGCTCTGAATAGTCAAGAAATAACCTACTTTTAATGCGGAGAAGTGTAAAATAGTGCCAGCCTAATAGCACATAAAGTCTCGTAGACCGCCACAGAGAAGCGAGACCTTTAGTGGTGATATAAGACGACTTCCGTTGTTCAGAGCGGTTCTCAAAGGTGTTCAAAACTTGGAATTAGAATGTTTGTCTCTTCGAAGAGCGTGCATGCGTTTTCTGCGCTGCCGTCTTCCAGCGTATGCTTATTGGGCATATCGGGCTAAATATGGACTACCCAATTTAGGCTTGGCAATCCTGACTGGAGCGCGATCTGTTTGCACTGGAGACCGTACAGCGAAGGAAAAAGAGAAACGTTAGGTACTTGTTGAATCTATCATACCAATTGCAACTGAAAGCCCTAGGATCTTTCCGCTATAGTTATCGCTGTCTATGGGGTGACTTCATTCTTACCTACCATATTTTGAAGACCCTAATCACGTTTGTTTCCATCTGGAACATAGCAACAAGAAAAATCCGAAGGACCATTAGTTGAAATTGGCCACCCAATACAGTCAAATGAAATGCCGCCGGGATTAATTTTCACTCCAAATTCGTCAGCCATGAAACGCTTTTCTGACTTTTGTCATTTATACGCCCACCTTTCTCACTTTAAAATAAAGAATCGACGATGCATTGCATCATCTGCGCTAGGTGACATGAATTCCATTCCTCGACTGAGGATAAGGCGAAGACAAATATTGTGCTCGTCAACTCCCGCAAAATCGGGGTCGACGTGGATAATTTGGTGGATCCACAAATGCGCGCTCAACCTTATTGTCACTTTCTTT